TTTCTTTTAATAAAAAAATACCCCAGCCACAAAGCCAGGAAACATGAAATTGCTACTCTCCCCTTAATTGGTTTAGTGGTGGGCTTGGTAATGTTAGGTTAATGGTTGGAGTGGATGATCTTAAAGGTCTTTTGCAACCTAAACGATTCTATGATTCTATGATAAGGCCAGTGAAAGGTAATTGCTGCCTGTGTCCTGCTTTCATTCAAAGGTCGTTTCTACCTGGCATCTCTTTGCCTTTCTTGGTTCTTTTTCCACTGTAATCAAGGCTATTTTGTCTTAAAAGACTTTTTCATATGTATATGCTTATAAACATCCATAGATACTGATACACAGAGGCCAAATAATGAAAAAACTTAATTCCTTAGGTAAGTGATAATATGCTTACTAAAAAACATCTAGGTAAACTATTTTACTGATGCATTTAGAGGAATCTGCAGCCTTATTACTTTCATTAAAAAATAATCCAGCCACCAAGCCAGGAAACATGAAATTAATTATTATTCTACCCGTAATTGGTTTAGTGGTGGACTTGGTAATGTTAGGTTAATGGTTGGACTGGATGATCTTAAAGGTCTTTTCCAAACTAAACAATTCTATGATTTCTAATAACACCTTTGCATCTCTTGTGTGTTCAGCAATGGGATCTCAGGAATGGAGCCAAGAACGGTAGCATGACCAGCGCCATGCACGCCGAGGGCGCGATGCTGGGAGTGAGCAGTGCCTGCCACAGGACTGGGGCATCAAGCAGCTCTCGTGGGAGACCCAACGCTCTTCAGGTCCTGCCGCGGGGAACCGGTGGGTTTCTGTAGCCCAAACTATGTGTCTGTGCTGTTCAAAACCAATGCCTAGAGTAGCTTTATTACGACAACGGTAGGATTTTATTCTGTATAAAATCACTCAGTGGAAGGGGGCTGTTTTTAGTAAAAGTGCATAAATGATACAGAAAATATGAATTCTTTGGTTCTTTAAGCTGTATATGTATATTAAAAAAAAAAATCCCATTTTATTTTGTCCACCAAGATTTTGGGTTGCATGCTGTGAACAGCAATAACCATAGGATTGCAATTTCATTTTAGCTAAGGCAAAAAAAAAAAAAAACCAAAACACCTTAACACGTAGGAACTGAATGTGTCAAAGACTGCAGAGGAAATCACATTTTTATTTGTATGTATCCTTACAGGACTGAAAGCCCAAATGCAGCATGTGAAATAAGTGCCTTTGTTCTTGCATATCATACTTCTGACAAGTAGACTGATGAGGCTCGGAAATGCAGTCTATGAAGTGAAAATTGTTTAAAGTAGATAAAGGGGCAGTTGTTATTTCAGATTAAAGCTAGCTGGAAAAATGCTGATAGGAACTATTTTCCACTGGAAATGTAGCTCCTTTGGGTACGTTAACAGAATTATGCTCATTTCACCAAAACTTCTCTTAAGGACAAAAACTGCCTTAAAAAATTGAAGCAATGCCACAGTACCCCTTAATGACATTTCCCAAATTACGCTTGTGAGGTTTTACTACTTTGAAATAGTTCTACATGTTGAAATGGACATAATTTATAATATAAAGTATTTTGGGAACAACAAATTGAAAGAAAAGTTTCCTATCTTATAAGAAAAAAAATCTATTCAATTTTCTCTCCCCAGAGTATCCTTTTATGGGGAATTTTATCTTCATGCCAACTCTAGAGGCGGACAGATTTCCAAAATTTGAAGATTTTCTGGCAAGTGCCACTTATGCCAGACTTAATTGTTTTATTTCAATCATTTCTGCTTGTTTCCCTGATGCTTTATAAAGTCTTTTTGCAATCTGAATGACACAATCTCAGGGTCAGAGGTCAGTACAGAGAAAGTACAGAGAAAAAGCTGCCACCAGAGGAATTTGACATAACCTTGTTGTCAAATGGCGGTAGATGGACCCCTGCACCAACCAAACCAGTTGTCACTTCTCATGGCCATGCTCTCCTGTCCACCACCAGTTCAGATACTCAGTCCCAGCAAAAGGGGCTTGGCTTTTCAGGTGGAGTCATAAGAAGACTTCACATTAACATAGGAGGTATTGGGGTTTGTATGTATGCCTTTTTTGTTCGGTTGGTTTGGTTTAGATGCTCAAGGTACTCTGTTCCCATGAGAAGCACCTGTCAAGCTGCAAACCCTCTCCCGTGTTTTGTACGTTGTCCCTGTGTTATGGAAGGGACTTCATCTGATCTAGGTTTGGTTTGCCTGGGACGTCTGGAAACTGCCATTAGGTCCAGATTCATGGCTCCACCCCCGTCTGCAGCCTTGCGGTGTGCGGTGACTGAGTTACACTGCTATTTCCTTCTCTTCAGACTGACACGCTGTGAACACGTAGGCACAGGCAGCAGGTTTCATTCATAGAGGTCAAGTTTCTCCAGCAACACAACCTGAGATTCAGCAGTACTCCCCCAAGCAGTGCCAAAATACTTACTGCCCGTTTCCCTCTGCAAACCTCACTTACTCTTTATTGTCCCTAAGTGCTGTTCCCTCTCCTGGGACCCCATTTTTGGCTCTCTTGCTTGCTCTGCTTGCTGCCTGGGTGCTGACAGGGGCAGCAATGGGGGCTCTGGTCTCACGCCATTGGCAGTGGTGCCCCGTCCCTGATCCCAGCCCAGCCCTTGGACACCCTATATCTTGGAACGTCTGCATGGCAGGAGGATTAGAGATAAGGGAAATGTGTTGGTGAGGCAATGCTGGGAACGACACCCACCTTCTTGTGCCAAGTATTCGTTCTCGATGATCCTGGCCAGGCCAAAATCAGCAATTTTGCAGCAGAGTGTCTCTGAGACGAGGATGTTGGCAGCTCTCAAGTCGCGGTGGATGGAGTTCATTCGTTCGATGTACGCCATTCCCTCCGCCACCTAGGAGAGGAGGTCCTTCATGACTCCACCTTCATGAGTCACCTCCCCATGACAACAAGCTAGCCTGCCTGCATCTTACCCACCTGTACAAAAGCACAGCAGGCATATAGGGTTGCTCCATGGATGGATGGTCGGTCAGTTAGATCAACAGACAGATGCATAAACAGGTAGACAGATACATACATAGATAAATAGATATTCCCCATGTACATGTGCATATGTGCAGCTCTGCCAGCATGCACCTGGCCTCTAAAAGCTTTAAGCAGCCAAGTCGAGCAGAACAGAAACATCGCTCTTTGTTTTGCTCAGAAGTTACAGCTCTGAGTCATGTCTGTAGCGAGAAACAGAAAGTTGAAGCAAACCTGAAGCCACATCACTGGATTCCCAGTTTCTGCCACAAGACTCTACCCTCTGGTTAGGATTTTAATCACAAACACTCCAGATTAAATATGTGGATTAAAAAAAGAAAAAACCCTCAAAGAGCTCATCCATCCCTCAGTCACAGTAGCAAAGTCCAGCTCTAGGAGGACAACTAGATGTTCTTCAGCACCCTCCTCTGTTCTCGCTCACTGGTCTGCTTTGCTTGAGGAGGAGACCCCTGGAGATCCCTCTGCAATAAAACCGAGATTGGTGTTTTCTTTCCCTGTGCTGGGTCCAGATTAAGACCCAGGACACAATACAGTTCCCCTCTGATACCTACAGGATGCAATAGAGCAGAAGGCCCAGATATCCATAAAAATATGACTGGGATAGAGCGTATGTCCCTGGACAAATCCCTTGTCCTGAGCATGTGATGCCTTCTTCAACCACCTCCAAACTTTTCTTTGGGATGTTCTTGCTCCCAAGATCATCTCCCATTGTTTAGCTCCTTGGAGCAGGGAGCAGCCTTGGGGAGGTGCCTGGTGTGTGATGAGCCCCTATAAATGGCAGCAGCAATCTTTTATTGCTGGGTGCTGGCAGATACAGATAAAAAGAGATTGCCAAGTTGGCCTGTCAGTAGAGTCTCGGATTTGGGTTAGGCATTTATCAGTAGGGTGAGTGGATGCATGCAACCCCTGCTAGTAATGGTTAGTACCTATTAAAGCTTTTATGGGTTTGTGGGTGAGGGCAGAGCAATTTTCCACTCCATGCAGATTCACATCAGCATCTTGTCTTACATGTGGTTTTAAACAGGATACTAACACATACTTTCCAATGCTGCATTTCTAACCTGTGTCAACACCCCTTCAGCGCAAGTGCTGTTTGCTGCAGTGGAAAATGGAAGAATTGATGTAATTTCCTGTCCTGATGTTAATGAGATAGTACCCAGCAATGGGCCTGTTCCAGCCCAGTGTGCTTTTGAGTATGTACTCTCGAGACTGACCACAGGATCAAGTGCATCAGCCCAGAGAGTTCTAATTTTAACTCCAACAGACGCTATTGGATCCAAAATTGTGCTCGAGAGGGTTGGGTGCGTGTTGGGCCGTGATGTCATCCTGACTCCACAGATGAACAGATTGCAAAATAGCTCGAGAGACTGCCCTTTTCCTCCTCCTCCTCCTCCCGGAGCTACCCAGTGAGTGTTTGAATCCCTGCCCTGGGGAGATGGTGCTGGGGTGGGAGAGGGAGCAATGAAAGCTGTCCTTCCAATTGAGCCCATGTATTGAGGGATGGGCAAAATCCTTCCTACCCCATGAGCTGCGGGTGGCTTGTGTGGGATATTACATTGCTGGGGTGTGTGGGTTTGTCTGCATTTGACTATCCTGGTCCTGGAGGTGGTGTGCATGGGGGGGTGTGAGAAGGGTGTGGAGGGTGGGTGAGTGCTTCCAGGTGCCCATGGAGAGGTGACGTCCATGTCTAATTGCTCAACCCCAGTGTTGGTGCCCACTGTGGGTACTATTTGACCATTGCAGTGGCTCGGTTTCTGGCCAGCTCAGGCCATGCCACGTGATCATATTCAAGACTTCAACCCTGAACTCGGAGAGTTCTTACGTAGAAATGCACAAGCCAATTTCTGGGGTAATGCTCCTACCAAACCCAAGGGCTCTCTAATATGGATGAATTTGGACCATTCTGCTTATCATCAGGAACTGAAAAAAAAAAACCACAGGCTATACCTTTCAAGAGAAGGAATGAAAGAATGAAAAATGGAGGGAGGGAAGTAGGGAGGTGAAGGAAGGAAGGAAGGAAGGAAGGAAGGAAGGATGGATTTAAGGGAAAGATACTAAACAGGGAGGCTACAGCTGACCCCATAACTTGTCACATACAACAAAGATAAAGCTGTAGATATGGAAGATTTATCAGTAGTGAAGAGGGAAGGCACTGAAACATGTTCCTCTGCTCCCTTTATGGGGTGCAGAGGAAAATAAAAATGACAGATGGGGACACTGCTTTGATGTATTTAAATATTTTCATCCTGGTTTTAGCAAGAAGGAAAATCTTTCGCTATCATATAACATTTGCTCAAATATTAAGATTCTCCAGTTTTTAATACATTATAAAATAGCTCCGTATGATGGCTGGAACCAAGTGGCCAGCGTTTACATGTTTTTTTGCTCAGGCTCACTTTGACCCAGAGAGGCTGAGTGATCTTATGGGTAAATCCCAGACCTGCACATCAAAATAACTGTATTCAGCCATCACACTGATGCTTCATGGCTTTTTTCCAATATTTCCAAAATCAGCCCAGCTCTGCTCTGGGTGAGCCAAATTCTGTCAACAGCTGTCTAGGACCAAAGTGGAGTGATTTTGCCAATGTCATCCTTCATGTACAGCTTGTTGCCAGGATGCTGCCACTTCACTTGCGGTTTCCCAAACTTTGACCTGTTTGAGTTTAGATGCACTTCTGTACTAAAATGTTATGGTGCAGATGCAACTACTAAGATTTACAGCCTCGGGATGCTTAGAGGGAAACAACCCTTCAATTACAAATGTTTGTTCTCATAAGGAGCAATATTCCCAGATTTGAGGGTCAGAACATCCTTTATGCCTGATCATCAGAAGGGAAGAACTGCTGAAAGCCAGTGTGTCTCTACATTGAAAGTTTCTCTGTTGAGCTTTTTCTTCTTTTTGGTAAAAAGAGAAACAAACTTGTTTCCTGCTCAGCAATCCAGAAAAACAAAACAGAACAAAACAAAACAAACCCAAAACCCCAAAAAACAAACCCCAGTTCTCTAGCACTGCACTAAGTTCCCCAGAGGCTGTCCTAAGGACAGCAGAGCATTGCTGAGCTGACATGCACATCAACACAAGAGGGCTGAGAGAAACCCTAAGAGAGCACACAAGGAGGTGCTGTTTTTCTCCATGAAATCAGCGCTCTGACAGACTTCAGACTTGCAAGAATTTCACTGAGGCAATAACCAATCGTGGTCTTGAGTTTGTTTCCCAGAGGCTGTTCACTAACCTGAGCAGACATATCAATGAGTTTTGGGAGATTCAGTTGGCATCCTTCCTCTGTCTTCAAGTAATCCAGCAAACACCCTGCAAAAGAGGAGACACTGATGTGACTCTTCTGAATAAGCCTGTGTATTTGCTTTCCCTGGTGCTTCTCTGAATATATGCAACACATCTGCCTGCATCCTAGAGAAAATCTGAGGAACCACAGTGGGTGTCTGTTGGACCATCTTCCTTTAGGAAAGTTCCCAATTTCCCCCCTCTATTTTGCATAGACCTTTTGCAAACTGCTGGGCATTCTTCACTCAAAGCGTCATAGACAAGAGAGGCAAAAGAAAGGATGATTTCACCATGAGGGGAGTAAAAATCCAAAACAAACTTCCCTAAGGAACAGTGGAGATAAGAACTTTAAATATTCTTCAAATAGAGCATCACCATCTTGTGAAGTAGCTTATGAAATATGAGAACACAAGAGGCAGGATTTCATTGCCCAGAAAGTCCATTCCAGTATTAGAAACAAATTTGTGGATCACTTAGTCTTTCTGCTTACAGATTTGGTACAATGCCCTCCTTCCCACCCCCCCTTATGATGGGAGTACCAGCCAGCTTGTTGACCTGATTATGCAGAAACCCAACATAAAAGCTCCATGAGGGTCTTTACCATTGGCCATGTACTCTGTCACGATATAGATTGGCTGCTTCGTGACTACTGCATATAGCCGGACCAGTTTGTTATGCTGGAGCCTCTTCATCAAGTTTGCCTCTGCCAAGAAGGCATCAGGATCCATGCTGCCCTCCTTCATGGTCTTCACAGCCACCTTGATGTTGTTCTTGTAGTAGCCTGCAGAGAGATAATGATGCACTGAGGAATTTTGGCCTCTCTATGGGCTCTATCTATGGCAATCAGGAACAGAAGAGCTTGTGGATCAGGGAGCAGAAAACCACAATAACAACTTTCAATCTCCCAGTGAGAAATAAATGGAAATCTCAGTGCCAGTGGGCTCTGAGCAACCAGCAGGTATGACAGGAGAAGGGAGAGACATGGCACAACTGCCAAACCATGTGGCTTTGTCAGGGATCGTCCCTGGTCTGGGTGGTGGACATCCATGCAATGAGCCCATTCTCCCAGCCCTGCAAGACTCTCTCTGTATGAAACCCCTGGGGCCTCCCACCAGCTGGGCTCTCAAATAATCCAGACACCATCAAGAAAACCAGGACTCTGCAGTTAGGACATCAACTCAGTCTGATCCTGTCCACAATCTCAATTGCCAAGGCAACAGGCAACAACAAAGAGGACAGCAAAGGAAGCTGAGCTCACCCCATTTCCTCTGCCACTGATTAGCAGGGGGCAGGAAGGCATAAGGGATTCAGATCTGGGTTATAAAGTGGAACAGGGAAGCAGAAAAAGTGGGATAGTGTCACCCAGGTACCCTGTTGTGTGTAACTTAGAATCCTACAACCATGCCCAGGATTCCCAAGGAGAACAAGAGCGTGTCTCAGGAGTTGAGTATATAGTTACTGTAACACCGCTTTCATGCATGTAACCTATGAAACCCATGGTCAACCACTGATCTGTGCAAACACAACCTGTTTGGTCCTTCCCAGGAGTATGGCATCTACTGCTGCATGAGTACCCATAAATATGTGCTTATACTTTAGGATCCCCCCTGCCCAGACTAGTTCTGTTTTAGGGAAAGAGGGCTTTCCTTCTCCTCTGTATTTTTTTCCTGGAAATGGGGGGAATTATACTTACCCATCCACACTTCCCCAAACTGCCCACTGCCAAGTTTCTTCACAAGCTTCAGAGACTCCCGTGGGATCTCCCATTCGTCCTGTGCCCAGGGTCTCTGGGGAACCACGGATACACAGGGAGCTGTGAGCCGCTGACACAGGCCATCCCCTTTCTCTGTATGAGGACAAAGCACAAGACAGTTCAATGGGATGGCAGAGCTAACTTTGTCCTCCATCTACACATTGCAGGAAAAAGTCAGTCTATGGGAAACCTCAACCACACAAGTGTTTCAGCCACAGGGATCAAGGCACCCAGAATGGACTCAATGAAAGGAAAAAGCTCAAAGGGAGCCACAGAGAAGCAGATTCTTCTGCCCAGCAAGTCCAAACCCTGCTTCCAAAGCATATCTCCTGTATGGATATACATTCAGCATTCATCTCTTTCCTTTCCTGATGGGAGATGCTCCCTGGTTATAGGGTAGTAGACAGAGCTCACCCTCGCAATGCCCTAGGATGAAAGATAGGACATGGGTGCCCAAGTTCTGCTTGGAGAAGCACGCCTTGCCCATGAGAGTAGATGGAGTGATGGTAGTGGCTAGTAAGCCTGTCCTCCCTCTGTCCACATTCCCACCTTCTGCTAGGAGACAAACCCATTAGGGGAGGCAAACAACTTACGGCTGTAATGATGGATTAGCTCTGGCAGGCTGGAGAAAGTCATCCTGGGGGAGATGTAATACCCCCCACCATCTAAGGAGCGGATCCTGTAGTGTTTGATGATGTCACCATGAGCAGAGTTACTGTCTCTCACGGACAAGGAATAGGCACCTGGATAATGAACAGAAGCGAGAAGTATGAGGACAAGTAGGACCTGACCCAGGGACCAGCTACATCCTCTTTCCTTGCCTGCGTGCAGCCGCAGACATTTGTCCTAGCCCTTGCTGATGCCTTCTCAGGGCAAGTGCCACCAGACTGCAAAGCTACAAACTTCCCTCTCTCCAAGGCAAGTGGAGAAGATAAAGGTTCATCAGAGCTTAACTGGGGCTGTCGAGGCTTGGCTGAGTAAGACCTGCCCATGCCATGGCCAACAGCCCCAAAGAAGGAACATGGCAAGCCATAGCACATCTCCAGCCAGAGCAATCAGACACACCTTAGGTCATGATGGTCTTGCCACAGCTCCACATTTCCTGTCTGAGCCCTGTCAACCCCACCATCTCATCTGGACGAAACAAGTGACTGCAGTCTCACCAGTTTGTCCAAACACAGGACTGACAAGAAGCTGAACTACCCCATTGCACAAACAGGATTTCGGTTAGTGGGAGAGTTATGGTCAAGAGATATGTGTCCTTTCTCAGCATTATCCAAGGTACCCATGTCCCTGTTATCCCCTATAACCCTTGTGCCAAGGTCAGTGGTTCAGCTGGGAGGTACAGAAGGAGGTATGGGAGAAGGGTGCAGGAGAATTGCCTTGTTCAGCCATAAACTTGTGACTGTGGCTAAACCACATCTAGATTCAGGTGCCTTTTGACCTCAAGGGAGCTACTGAACGATCTGCTGTTCCAATCTGCTATTGTCTCCTTATAATGAGTTTATAAGCTAAACCATGTTCTGTTTGTTCGTTTGTTTTCACAAAAACATCACTAGATGTTGCTACAGAGCAGCAACTTCCAGCCTATGTCAGTGTAAATTTCAATACAGCTTTGCAACTTTTTTTTTGTTTTTTCCCCTTTGTCTGGATCATATTTCCACAGTAAGTTGTTATAAGACTGCTGGGCTGTTAGAAGTCTAATACGTCACCTGGGTTGACAGGCTGCCTTTTTTAATGTTTGAAAAGGTGAGGCTATATATGTTAAAAAGTATGTATCTGTCATGTAGGATCATAAGCAGAAGTGGGACCTTCCACAGTGACTCTGAAACTCTAATCCTGCATGCGAGGGGAAAGTTTAGTAACATATAACTCTCACTGGCTGATGTTTCTCTGTCGCCACACCAGCAGTTCCCTACGCTGCGGCTGGAAAACATTTGCATTTTTAAAGCATAACAAAAGAAAACCACCTTTATGAATATTTGCTCTGTTGCAGTGATTATAAATCTTCACGAGCAGGATTTGGGAGAGTGTAAAGTTTTTCCTAGCTCTAGCAGTTGTTTTGGGGGGGACTGCCTTTCTGCAGAGGCCAGACTATGAGATATGGTGGCATAATGCTCACAAAAGACCTGCTGGTTTAAATGCAGAGCCAGGGAACCTCAAGACTGGAAGCACACAGCCTCAGCGTGGTGGGCTGTTTCTCAACAGAGGTTGCTCTTCTGAAACTCTCCTTCACCATGAATGTTGGGCAGAAGACAGACCTGAGAAGCCCTTTCGGCTCTATCACTCCTGCAGCTGAACCTCTGAGAAGCAGCCCTGCAGCATCTTCAACAGGGCAACAAAAATCTTCAGGGAAGGACAAGGGAATGGCTCATTTTTGCAGTCTACGTCTCAGTGACCAAAGGTCGCTACACAGCTAAGGGTGTCTTTCCCAGGGAGTGATCTTTGGTCCCTGGTGTGTGTAGAGAGGTGTTGATATGACTTGTGTTTGCAGTGCTCAGCAGAAGTCCTTCTAGAGTGGATTAGTCACGTTCACACTCCCTAGCACTTGGCCCCAGACCTCCTCTGGCTCCTCTGTGGTACCTACGTGGCCCTAAGTTGCAAGTAACAACAACAACCACTACCAACAACAACCCAACAACAATAATAATAATAGACAATTATAAACTTATAAATAATAACTTATATAATAATAAACGTACACAAGTTATTATTATTATTATTTACTTCTATTATTGTAGTTGATTATGATGTTATTTTAATTCCAAAGTGATTGAAATAACGTGCAGGCCAGGCTGCAGCCCATTAGACTTGGGCTTATACGGCCCAAGTCTAAGAGGGTGCTTTGCATGCCTGGGACGTGGCTTAGGGTATGCGTGGGATTTTTACAACGCACGGCCTGCTAGAGGATGGAGCCAAACGTAGTGTGAACCCAGCTGTACTGACGACAGACAGCGTTGCAGAAGGGAGTGCAGGAATTAATGACTAACATGTGTGCAAGTGGATGCTTGGGGGCCGAGACTCAGCAGAGAAGAGGAGACCCGAGCTGTTTGTTAGCGTGGTTGCACCCAAAATGCCTGCTCTCCCTGCAGGACCTCCTCCTCAGACCCCACTGACCCTGTAAACCCTCCTGCAACTTTCAAACCAGTGACATGCAGCATGCAGAGGTGACAGGGTCTCCAGGCACCCTCCAGGCCAATCTATCAGCTGCCTACTACCAGCATTAATACTTATCCCGTCATTAGAGCTAATGACTGTATTTCACTGAAGTCAGAGTTTAGTCTGCTGGAGTGAGTGGGGTAGAGCTTTCCCTGTCATTCATCATGGCTGATCACTGTTCCCTTGGGAGCTGCAGCGTAAAGGCAAAGCACTAGGGCTGAAAAGCTTCAAATCTCTCTTCTCCCACTGACAGCAGCAAATGAAAAATGGGAAGCGGAGCCAGACAGACGGCAGAACTCCTAATCTCCCCAGATGATAGCCAGGATGGCCGAAAGGAGTTTCTGCTCCTCAGCCACAAGGGACATTTTCCTGTCCTATAGTCCTGCATTGCATCCCACCACAGAGCTGGGCTAACACACAGAGGTCAACGCCTGCACTCAACACCAGCTCAGAGCAGTGTGAGCACAACCAAATCTCACCCTGGGCAGCTCTGGGTGTCAGACCCTCTTGTTCTGGGTCTGGGATCCCCAAACCATCCCACAAGGGCTTTCAGGTCCTTTCTGTTCAAAGGGTGGCAAGTGGCAAGTTTCATATGGGAAAGAGCAACAGAAGATGTAAAGTGTGGGATTCAACTTCACATCATACCTAGGGCTGATTCAGTTGCCTAAACACAGGTGTCTGGTACCACTTGAGATGCTCTGGGACATCTCCATGGGCTTGGCAGACGTGGTACAAAACCACACCTTCTAGTGGAGCACCTGGAGATGGCTCCAAGATGTTCAGGGTTTGGCAACCAAATCAAGCCCCACTGGCTACAGAAGTTGCTCAGGCAACTACCGCATGTGATATCTACATTTTGATGCCCACATCTCAGACGGGGTCCAACTTCCACGTTGCACATGTGGCATCTCCTGTTCCTACAGGTCTCATCAGGCTCTTAAGTCCTTCCTGATGGGAAATGCAGGAGCTCAGCTGGGTATGGCGGCTGAGCTCGGCGAGGTCCCTCCTGCCGGGAGCACAGACACAGCAGTCTTGCTGTGAGCCAAGAGTTCGTGACTCGGCACAGCTGTGCGGCTGCATTCCCGCAGGTTTTATAACGATTATTACTTTGGGGGAAGATTTGTTTATTTCCAGAAGCTTCGGCAAGGCTAGCTCTCCACCGATGATTTCACTGCTGGTCTGCTTCCCACACTGTCTCGACAAGGACCCATCTTCCCAGGATGTTGAATGTGCCTTTCATGGCCTCTGCAAAATGTTGGCTGGAAAATGAAGCCCCCAGGTTTGCAGACCTTCAGTATCTTTAACCATGAGCAAAACAAGACACTGCTTAGGATGGGCTGTGAGTAGGTGCTGCTCTTAGGCAGGGTGCAGAATGCATCCCACTGTGGCTGAGACAACCCAATATGAGACAATCACCCTCTAGTGCATGCAGCTAAGGGAGCTACTGTCCTTAGCTCACTCAGTGCTCAGCCCTGATGGTCAGATGTTGCTGGTGATGTGCATACTGAATGAAAATATACATCATGGAGGAGGAAAATAGGAAGAACCTGTGGGGTTTGAAGGGCAGGGTAAATTCCATGGCATTGCTCTGGACATCTTGTGGTGGGTCACAGGGTACTTTACATTAGTGAACTCAGCTTCATGGCATGTTTGGAGATGTGAGGCTTTCTCTTTTCCCCTTCTCTTTAGAGAGGAGGAAGCTGTGGTTAAGACATTTGATAACGGTGTCACCATGGCCACTCAGGCAGTCTAAGATACAGGGTATTCAGGTAGGAGCTGAATGCATAGGATGATTCAGAGAAGGATGAGGTGTTTGAAGGAATGACAGCTGTATTTTGAGACAGAACACTAAATATCAGAAAAGGCACAGGTGAGACTCACATTTCAGAGCAGAAGCTGATCTCTGACCATTTGGGACTAACATGGGACTTTCATGGAGTGGAACACGCCACATCTGCAAATGCAGAATATCACACACCTCCAGCTAAGTCTGCTTCTAGCTAGCAGAGACAAGACATTAAAGACTAGGTCTAGCCTGGTTATTTCTCCTTGAATCTCAGGACTCCACCACCTCTGTCCACGCCTCATGTGAACTAGACCCAACCACGCTCCAGAGAATTGCAAGGAATGATTTCATCCTGCTAGCAGAAGCAGGGGACAATTGTCTTGAGCAGGTATAGGGAAATGTCTGATCCTATCCACATGTGGCATCTAGAGGTGCCACAAAGACTAGGATCATGTGTGGACAGAGGGCCTCACCCCTTCTTAACCCTTCAGATACAATGCACAAGTGTCTGCTGGGCTTGTGCATGGCACGTGTGTTGCTCCCTACCCTTCCTGGGTGCAATGCACAGTCATGCCAGCTACCCAAATATCCCAGCAAACAAAAGGGAGAGTGGGAAGGGGATAAACAGAAGAGCATCATGTGGTGACTAGTCCAAGCCTGATCATTTGAAAGGCACTGCAAATGCAGTGGGGAAACCAATATACAAGCAGAACAAGTCACTTGTAAAGGGAAATGCTTAGAAACAAGCTTCTTCAATGTTTCCTGACCTGAATGTTCCCTAAAAATTCTAAAAACTGCAAATCCGCATGGGCAGCAGCCCTCCTACTTGGCATCGGCTCAGCAGGGACATGTGGAGGTGAGCCCAGGCATGGGCCGGGGAAAAGGTCAAAGTAGGCTGCTCTAATGTTAACACCACACCCCTGCCTGATGGCTGGAGGGAGAGGGCTACAGGAAGATGAGCATCTTGTTGCCCCACTTGGCACACTAGATATCACACCAGTTCAAGACCAGCACTCCATTTTGACTCTATTTGTCAAATTCTGCTGTTGGAGGTGGCTGGAATGTTCAGGTCTGCAACACAGCCAGGGCTCAGACTACATCTGTGAGTAAACTACACCATGCCAGAGCCTGCTTTCTAGCCTTGGGGTCACATCCACACCATGAAACTCTCTCAGCCTCCGAAACAGGGTGACTGCACTCAAACTGATTATTAGGAATGGTGCCTGGTTGATGCCAGGACAAAATCTGCAGAGACTGTGTGGCTGACCCAGCTGTCGCATCTAGGCTCTAGGACAATTTAATTTACTGGTAATGATGTAGCCACAGAGGAAGGGAAAGACACTGCCTTGGAGACCTCCCATGTGAATGGGGGAAAACAGAGACAAGAAAGAAAGGAGATGCTACTGTAGGCAAGAACTAGTTGCAAAATGGAGGATCCAGTCTATCTGTTCCCACTCTTACTGTTTGGCCAGGGCCTTGTGGAAACATTTGGGAAGCAAGTCAAGGAAAAGAAGGTCCCATATTACTTCGGATGGATGCTTGTCCTGGTTTCAGCTGGGATAGAGTTAATTTTCTTCCTAGTAGCTGGCATAGTGCTGTGGTTTGGATTTAGGATGAGAATAATGCTGGTAACACACTGATGGTTTAGTTGTTGCTAAGTAGTGCTGACACCAGTCAAGGACTTTTCAGCTTCCCATGCTCTGCCAGGTGCACAAGAAACTGGGAGGGGGCACGGCCAGGACAGCTGACCCAAACTGCCCAAAGGGCTATTCCATACCTTATCATGAGCTCAGTATAGAAACTGGGGGGAGTTGGCCAGGGGGCAGCGATCGCTGCTTGGGAACTGGCTGGGCATCGGTCAGTGGGTGGTGAGCAGTTTCATCACTTGTTTTTCCTGGGTTTTGTTCCTCTTTTTTTTGTTTTCCTTTTCACTACATTTTTTTTTTTTCAATTATTAAACTGTTCTTATCTCAACCCATGAGTTTTCTTTCTTTTGCCCTTCCAATTCTCTCCCCCATCCCACCATCATGGGGGGAGTGAGCGAGTGGCTGTGTGGGGCTTAGTTGCCGGATGGGGTTAAACCACAACAATGCTCCAAGTCTCTACTGATCTAGTAGGAAGGCACAAACCACCTTTTCCCATGCGGCAAGGAAAGACTCTTACATCCATTTCATAGGAAAGAAACCAAAGCACAGCAAGACTGAAGTACTTTCCTGAACTACTGTAAGGAGCTGGTTTAGAGCAGAACCATGGGACTGCCATGAGCATCATTTCCTCCATGCTCTAAACACACCTGCTGGGCCAGAGGATGCAAGGAAAGAAGAGTAGAAAAGAAACAATATGAAAATCCCATGCAACAACCTAACCTAGTTTCCAGACTGTCTACAAATTAACAGCACAGAACAAAGAAGTTGCAGTTACACCATTAACTATTATGGTTAATCACTATACCGCTGCCCGAGAGAAGTGACCACAATGCTCTGTCCTTTCCATCCTCACTGGGTCATCTCTTCAAAAGCCAGACACGTTCATAGGGAAGGAAAATGGATGAAGTTCACCTTTCCTGCTCCAGTCAGTTCCCTTCCAAAAGTCCTGGTTTGCATCAATTCCCCCTGCTACAGACTATCAGGAAAAACATGTTTCCTCTGGGAACATGTTTCACCAAAAGACTTTTTCCAAAATTCTGCAAGTTTCTGCTGCAAGCAGGAGAAATGCTTTTTCAAGAGTGCATAGAAGAGTCTCCATTTGCCAAAAAAGTAACATTTCCTTGGGGAGAAAAGGAAAAGAAACCCCCTAGACATTGTTTGGAAAGTCTTTTCTGCTTATCTGTGTTCCTGCATCTCTGCCACAAACTGTGGTGACAAGAGCTAACCTTACCACAGCCTGAACTATGCATACGAGTAACATCATGAGCAAAACTTTGCCCTCCAAATCCCCAGCTTGCTTCTACTGCCCTGCTGAGCCTAGCAAGCGCTATTTTGCCCAGCCAGATCCAAGAAATGCTGACATGGCTGAACTTTGCAGCTCAGGTCTGAAAGGTTTTCCAAGCCATGGCAATAATGAGGAGTTTTCCTTGCTCTGTGTATCTCACCTTGGTTGGTTTCACTCTCTCGGACAAGGAAAGAACCAACTTTGTTACCAGAAGACAACAGCAGCCGTTCAGCATCTTTTCTGCTCAGAGTTTTAAAATACCACCTGGGAGACAGAAAAGGCAAAATCATTATTTGAAAAGGAAAAGCTCTAAAAAAAAGCAAATTCTTTCCAGTTAGTTCATTTCTTTTACCATTACACTCTGAAACTGGGGGTTGTTTTTATCAGCAAATAGTTTCTGATCTGCTGGAAAGTGCCAGTAATAGACTGTTTTCAGTAGATTAACACCAGATTTTGGTCACTTTGGGCTTGTTTCACAGCCTAGCAATTCATCCAGAACAGAGAGTAGATGGTATGTGTGGTACCCTGTACATGAGAGGTGCAGGCTCAGTCAGAGCACAGCCTCTGAGGCACGCAGGGAGCCATGGCTCGCTTGGCAAAGTGAGTAAGCCCTGAGCAGTGCCCATGCAGGCTGCGTAAAAAGCAGATACGTAGGCTGGAGGCTAAGCATAGGGTGCCCATAGCCATTTAAATGTACTCTTTGGATACAAAGATCATTTATGTCCCAACCACGTTTCTGTGTGCTGTTACATATTTGCCGAATTTAGTGGTGGTTGGGTCCCTCCAAGAGGAGACTGCAAGCAGGGCTGATCATTTATAGCTGAATGCCATGGAGGAGAATAAGTCATGGAAACAATTTCTTCTGTTGCTTTTATTACAGGCATAATAAACCCTTTTGGCTCAACTCTCTCTTACCATCCTCTTTGCAGGGAGCCAAACACGAAGGCTGCATCTGGGCTAATGAAACAAACAACACCAGGCTGTGGGTCTGGGCACTGGCACTCATTTGTCTGCCCCTTTATAATGTTGGTGTGGTCCCTGGCACACCCAAGACCTGGATCAATGTACCCTTCCTGAGTGATCCCTAGTCCCAGTCTGCATACAGACACCCTCTTGGAGGCTGAGGAAGTTTAACAGTATGTGCGTGGGTGAAATGATCTGGTGAGGCCAGAGGATGGTCCCTGGCACTGCTAATTTACCAGTGCAAACATAACCTTTATATTCTTTCCCCCAGAATCATGTTTTCCGTGGTGGGTGCAATCAATGGGACAGGAGCCTTTGCCCACTTTCCCCATAGCAACCTCATCTTCCCTGCTCTGCACCCACATGGCGCTTAAAACTTCTCCTGAACATTTGGGCAGCATTGCTGGGGGTGATGAAAGACCTCTTGCCATCCAGCTCAGCAATGACATCTTCCTGCCATCAAGGAAAGCTGTTCCCAAAGCTTGTTGAGAGAATGGGCACCGCATTAGTGTTCACCATCCATAAGCTTATGCACTTACTTTTCTTCTTCCAAACTGTCCACTTGCGCGACGAAGTTACTGGGGATGTAGCCTTTCCTCCCGCTGCTGAGGGATTTTGCCAACCACCACTCCCCCTCGCTGCAAAGCAAGCAGAAGAAAAAGCATGAGTGCCTGGAGGAGCTTTCATGACAAGTTAAGGCTGTAGGGACAGCATGGTTTCTGGGGTTTTGAGCACCGCAAATGGGCCAGCACTGCTTATATCCACTCTACAGGTCCCTTTCATAGGACAACCTCCAGGTGCAAGGCTGTTGGTCTCTCAGGGACTTCTGGAGGTGACAGTCTTTTTCCATGAATGCAGAGGAAGCTCAGAGTGACCACACTCCTGACCTCTGCTATGCACCCCAGGTGAGAGCAGGGAAATCTGGGTCACCGTGGGTTTATTTTGTCTCTTGTATAGGGACATCGGAGCTCCTTTCTGCTCTTTCCTTCATCTCCCAGACACCCCACTGCTTTGCTCTCCCACCACTGACTCAGCCACCAGCCGTGACCAAAAGCCATCCCCACCAGCAGTCTCCACTGCCCCGTGGGTCCCAGCCCACGGCATCTGGGTGAGAAATGTCACCACTGGAGGCCACCTCACAGAGAGGTCAAGGATGGAGCAGCCCTACAAGGCCAAATGACCGGGGGACCCAAGCCCACCTCTGTCCTGTTATGGACCAGGCAGATGAACTGTCTGCTGCCTCTTCTCTTGCGGGTTTGAGAAGAAGGTGAAATGAAACGATGCATGCCCCTGGCTCGATTCTGTCCTTTCCTCTGACTACACCCAACCCACATCCTTTGCAAAAGCACTATCAGCACAAAATACGAAACAGGAGCTAGGTTATTGTTGTTATTTATGCTATTTCTGCTCCCACGCACACCGGCAGTGAAGAAGGTCCCAGTAGTATGCATGCAGGGACGCTACCTGACCCCAAAGTACCCGTAACCCAAGGAAAGCATGAGAGTGTCACATTCTCCACCTTGCAGGGAGTACCCAGAGTCACACTCTGCAGCAAATCTAAGACACATGCTTAGCTCTGGTGAGCTGCAAATTGGTGTCTGACCCCAAGGCCCCCCTTTTCCCAGCCACACCATGCTCGTCTTTGAACCTCCCTCTGGCAGCAGGTCACTTACTTGGAGAGGACTTGGAGTTTCTCGCCCTTGACCAGCTGCAGGTCACGGTCACTTGAGGCAGCAAAATCGTACAGTGCAATCACAACAAAGTTATCTGAAAGAAGCAGCAGCACTACTGAATCCAACCTGTTCCTTGCCAGGGCGGTGATGCACACCCAGGTGTATGGCAGGGCATTTCACCCCCCTGCACACAGGGGCTGTCACCCCCCGCGTCCCCCAAAAGCCGAGCTTTCCACCAACCCAACTTTCCTGCCAACCACAACCACTGCTCGGGAACTAACACTGGTTCACCAAAGTGTTTCCCGTGTATGCATTTTTAAAGCACTCCAGACACCTTTCCACAAAACCCAGAGAGTCAACAAGAAAAAAGGTTTTGTGTGGAATAAGAAGCATCATAAATAACCTGTCAGTGTTTGGCCTGAGTTTTACATAGCGGTAAATGAAAACTGCTGTAGCAACGTTTCCCAGGGTAGCTCTGCAAGTTGTCTCAAAAAGATGAGGCTTTCTTGATTGAAAAATATCTAAAGTCAACTCAGTTTCTGTTATCCAAGCCCATTGCTAGGATTTAACTCTCCCTCCAGATGTTCTAGACTCAGACTGTATCTTGCCATCCCTTTTACACACTGTTCCTTGCAGATGTGCCACCATGTTTAAGTCACACTGATGCTTTTGACCCAGCACCTCTACAGCACGTGATTGCTCTGCTCAGCTGAAATTCCCAAGGGAGCGGTGGAGGCTCCAGGATCCGCTTCCCCCTCCCTGGCCCTGATGCACTTTAGATGCTCTGAACTACAAAACTGATGCTGTGTGTCTCCCGTTTCGCTTGCAACACACCTGGGCCAAGGCTGTGAGCGCGTCTGTGTCCCCATCCCCTACCCTAACACGTTGCTTTTACTCCAGCCATGTTGGTCAAGCCTAAATTTTGACACAGCCAAATGAACTTTCGCTCTCTGGTGCGTGCGAGCCGTGCTGCGCGTGGCAAAGCTGCTGCCTGGTACTTGTGCTGCGAGGCTGCTAACCCACCCTGGGGCAGATCTCTGTGGGCTGGAGCTGAATCGCTCTGTTTGCATGCCTGGGTTGTGCCGGTGCTGCTGTCGGAGAGGCTGTGCAACCGTTCACATGTGCTCTGCAGGCTCGCAGCTACTGAAGCAGAAATGAGGAGCTATTTTGGGGCAGATCAAACTTTATAAAGAGGATCGGCACACGCACACAAAACCAAAATTAAGCCAAAACACAATGGTGAAAAACAAAGAGAGAAAAAGAAAAATAAAGTTAAAAAGAAAAAGGAAAAGGAAAAGGAAAAGGAAAAGAAAAAGGAAAAGAAAAAGAAAAAGAAAAAGAAAAAGAAAAAGAAAAAGAAAAAGAAAAAGAAAAAGAAAAAGAAAAAGAAAAAGAAAAAGAAAAAGAAAAAGAAGAAAAAAGAAAAAAAAGAAAAAAAGAAAAAAGAGAAGAAGAAAAAGAAAAAGGAAAAGGGGAAAAAAGAAAAAGGAGACCATTTGCTGCAGAAAGGTTTTAGCTTGTATACAGCCTAATTAATGCACCGAGAGCTATGGACGGTCTATTATTAGCATTTTTCAAAACAGACTGTCAAGCCACTGTGTGACCTTTTCAAATAATGTCCCCAGCAAGAGAGGCAGACTGGCCCTTTGTCATCACAAGATAACATGTCTCTGGGGCAACTTGGGTTTTGTGTCTGTGCAAAGCCTGGCTGCTGCTCTGCTGGCGATTTATTGGAGAGGAGGGAGGAGAAAGGGTCAGTGTGGGAGGAAATGGAGCTGTGTAAACTGAAGCCCCGAGCAGTTTTCTTCAGGCTTGAGAGGAGGGACTTGGAGATCCATGAGAGGTTTCAGCAGAGCCTGACTCTCTCCTGTGTACGGGGGAAAGGATGATCAGTCACAAGGGAGAATGCTCTGAAGTCTTAAAATAGCTTACACGACTGGGGGCTTCCCCTTCGGGGATCTCAAAGTGTTTGGCATTAGCAAAGCACCCAAACTCTTTTTGCCTCCTTGAGAAAGTTGTTATCATACAGCTTCTCTGACATGAAAAGGTTTTGGGCATGTGCCTACTGCAAGGTGTCCACAACAAACATGCTCATCCACATGCACCATCCTGCTCCTCTTGAAAGGAAAAAAATACAGGGGTTACACTTTTGCTTTGAAAAATCCAAGCAAATGTGTAACCATCAAGCACAGAGTGGCTGTGTATTCCAGAAAACAAAATGAAAAATGTAGTTTTGATCTACGAAGCAACTGACATAAGTACCAATAAATGAAACAAAATACAAAAAGGAGAGAGGAAGAAAGAAAAAGAGCAAATATATCAGGGACAAAAAGGTTTTTATGTGCTGAAAAAATATGATCACCTCTTATCCCCTTCTCAACGTAGGTGTTGAGAAACACCACACACTTAAGTGAGCCAGAAGAAAAGCTCTCTCTGCTCAAGCCAGCAAGGCTCGCTGTCTCATGATGAAAGTGACTCTTCCCGTCTCTCAGGCTGTCACCCCACTGAGAAACAGCGTCGATAATACTTTCTTGGCCTATTTGATCAAGTTAGGTCGTGAGTGACTCTACAGCAGAGAAGCCGTCGGGGCTGCTAGGAATGACTGCTTTGCAGATAATGCTAGCAGCCCGGAGACTTTGATGGCGAGCCAAATACATCTTGGCTCAGAGCTGCTGTCAGGAAAGTTAGATACCAGCTTGGTTTGCAGAGGCTGAGTGCCAGTTTGATGGCTTAATAGAAATGATTCAACCAGTCTTCCCACCGCTGCCCCGTCATGAATGGGAGGTATTTGCAACCATCCCATGGCTACAGAGCCAGGCTGAGATGGTGCCAGCGTCCCCCAGAGGACCATGAATTGGTTTAGAGCCATGCTAGGATGGCCGTGGGGTAAATGACAACTCGCAGCTCATGTGTTGGCCAGCTGGGTGCACTGAACTCTGAGTTACTGCTGCTGAAAATGGGTCCAGCTTTCTGTTTCGGCTTGGCACGGGCTGGTTCACGAAGGTAAATGTGTGCTAGAAAAGCATGCCTTCAAAACACACAGCTGCTGGTGGCACTCCGGCCTCGTTGATGCTATCACCAAGAGGAACGCCATCGGGTCCCATTGGCGGAGATGCAGAAGACTGTGGGCTGGGACTGTTGCATCTCCCAGCTGGTCAGCAAGCCCAGGTGTGACAGCATGGGAGATGTCTCCCGGGATGTCCAGGCTTGCACTCTGAGAGTGCTCTCTGCAAAATACCGTTCTGCCTTGTGTCAAACACAGTGAATATTTTTATAGATAATTTCTGCTTTCCCCATAAAATCGTATCAGACCCAAACTCATAACTTTTTTGTTAGGAAATCTGAACACTTTGGGCAATTCCCTCTAATCTTCCTTCCTCCTTTTGTTTTTGATTGGCAATGCCCATTTTTTATGAGAAGTTTTAATTTCTCATTGAAAAGTCAGCCTTTTCAATAGAAACAACCCCTCCTATTTCCAATTAAGCTCAAAGGCACTTTTCTGGCAGCATTCCTTTCAACCTCAAATCCATATTCAGGAAACAACAACAAAAACGAGTAAGAGCTTTGATGCTAATCTTGAGATGGCTCAAAAGACCTCAATTTCCAGAGCATGCTTAGCTCCCACCCCTGAAAATCGGTCCTATTCATACTATGGTTAGCCAAAAGCAACTGAAAAGAGCTGTAAGAAGTTGCAGTTCCTCAATCAGAAGAAACAGCCTCGCAGAGAGACCGATTCTTTGTGCAGTCGCAGGTTGTTACAATGCCTGAGGACAAACACCCAAAACAACCAGCTCTCTCCATGAGTGGTACTTAAATCCAGTGGTACTTAAATCCAGTGGTATTTAAATCCAGCTGTGAGCAGCTGGCAGGGCAAGGTCAGGGCTTATTCGACCTATCTGCTATGTCTTATCTATCCAATGCAAGCAAACAGCAGCAGCTGTAGCAATGGAGCTGTTGTGTTTGGGAACCACCATCATGGGCCGAGACTTTGATGTGCTGGGAGCTGTAAAGGTGCAGAATTAAAGGTAATTTTTGAGAGATATAGAGATATAGAGCCTATAGAGATAAAAAGCCAATCTTAAAGACATCCTGAGTGCTTAGGGAACCATGGTAAACCGAATGAGGGACTCACACAGTGGAAGAACCCACCCCAAGTGAAAAGTGGACTGGCAATGCTGCTGACACGGCAGTCAAATCCAGAGATATATACTCCTTGCCTACCTTTGTTTTACTTCCATTAAGCTAAATAATGTCAGGAGGAATTAGGCTTTTGTTAACAATAAATAAATAAATAAATAATTTCTGAGGCAGCAGTGAGAAAACTGGAAACTGTGAAACAAGTTGCATAACACCAAGATCAGAAAAAAAAACCTAAAAAAATCAAAATGCAAGGCATGCAAAAAGAAATTTTTTTTAAAAAGCTGAAAGAAAAAGGTTTTGATTTTACATTACATGCCACACTTCCGTAGTAAATAATTTTGTGTGATTGAACTTGAAGTGCTCCCACAGGATATAATTAATCTCTTTGATTTTTTTATATGACTGAGTTGTCTGGATTTTGTGCTTCCTCTATCAATTCACTTGACCTTCCATCTTTCATAAGAATCTCTCAGATATCTCAAATATCTTGCGTGGTTCTTATCAGCCCATTTTGCCACACAGGACAGAGTCAGACATAGCATCATTTCAGGAAACTCAGACACCAGTAGAGAAAAATAAGAAGTTCCCCAGACTGCCAGTGTGAATATTCCTCCAAAACTGGAACTGAACCTAACTAAAATATTTTTGAAAGCTGAAAAATGGCTAACATGGTACCTAATGCATTTTTTAGCATCTTTCCACTTCTGCCTTCTGGCATGAAGCAGAAGTAAAAGCTGCCTCCCTGAAGATAGCTTCTGTTGTGTTTCTCACCAGAGTGAGAAGGTTGATAAAAACCCCGTGAAAAACCAGCAATGTGTGCTCGGTTGTGGAGGTAGGAGGGCACGGCCACTTGGAAATGGGCCATGAAAACAATTTTGCAGAAGAAAGCATGGCTTCTTGAAAAATGGTACTTCCACAGAAACGCACCCCAATTCACATGGTTGAAGAGTTACACCTTCCACAAATTTGATCTCCATAACAAATGTCAATTTTGAAGAACATTTTGATGTTGCAGGAGTTCCTCTGTCTGCCCCATGGCAGAGACCCTCCATCATCATCCATAAGACCTAAGAAGACGTAGGGCTGCTGTTCCACCCATCCTGTTTATTTGTCACCCTACTTTTTCATTTCATCATGTCCTGTCTCCCCTAATCCTACACTTTTGCCCACATAAGGAACTTTTGTGTGTTGCTAACTGCTTTCTTTGAGGCTTCCTCTATTTGTTGCCCTTTTCTAATTCTCTCTATCTCTCTTTCTGTCCTTAATCTGCAAAACTTTTTTGACAGAAATATACACAAGTTGCTGTCGGAGGCTGGGCAGAGGTAGCGGAGGGCTTTCTGCTAAAAGGCAATCATCTACAAAACACCATCTGCGACCCGCAGATAATTGCAGAGGTGGATGAAGCCAACAGTCTCCAAGCAGGGGCTCTGTGTATCCTTATTTTATACTCTTTTCTTTCTTCTCATTCTCTTTGTAGTCTCTCTGGGCTCTCCGATGCCTGCTATTTCCTCTGAAATTTTCAGCTGGCTGGATATAGCATCCCCAAGTTGTCATGCTGGAGACAGGGCAGCAGACAGAGAAATCTCATGCAGTTGATGTCTCAGATCTCACTTTGCTCAGCCAATGAAGGAGTGCTTTTCCCTCTTAATTTCTTTGATGAGCAGGGGAAACTGGCAGCTACAAACAGTTAGTGATGTAAACTGAACCTTCCAAAACACACTGATAAACTCCCCGCCTGGCAATGCTAAAGATACAGAAACCGCATGCCTGTGACATGACGGCTTGTTCTCAAGACATGCTGTTGGGGGACCACCACATTGCAAAACCCCACGGGAAGGCAAAAAAACCCAGCAGTTGAGCTAAGAATCTTACCTTGTACAGAGGCTTGGTTTAGATGAGAGTTGTTGATAAATTGTCTGCCCTTTGGTAGAAATAGAAAGAAAAAAGACGACATTTATTACTTTGCTGTGTTTGCAGGAAGACCTGCTGTCAGATTCACAGATGAGTTGGAGTTTGATCTGGAGCCCACTGTAGTCAGTCAACAGTCCCTGCATCTGGCTCCGTATGTGCTGTGATGGCTTTAACATATCTTGCCATGGTGTGTTCATAGCTGTCTTGACAGTCAGCTTGAATAATCCTTGGCTTCCCCCTCTGAATAAAAGCATAAATCTGCTACCCAGTCATTTAGACCCTGGTCTATCTAACTCTTGTTCACTGATGCCAGATTTCAGATCAATGTGGGATGAGACATGAATGGTCCCATTGAGAAAAGACAATTGCAATATTATTTGAAGCAGAAAACCCGGGATACTCTTTGCCATAATTGTCCCAAGGCTCATGGAATATCCTTTGCTCAAGGATATGTTCAAAAAATGGAGGCAGTGACTATTTAGCAAATTAAACTGCAGCGAGGTACTGCAACTCATCTAGGTGCACTTTAAAAACATTGACATGGTCCCTAGCTTGGTTTGGCCCAGACCCTGAGAGTGGCCAATTGACCACAGAGCACTCTTAATCCGCAGCTGGGACACAACCACCTTGTTTTGTGAGCTGAGAGTTTAATACTATGGAAATGGCCAGGCGAGCTCTGTTGGCCTGTACCCAACTTCAAACCCCAGTCCTGTGATCAGTCCAAGGTACAATACCTAATGACTAAAGTGCCAGGTATTTTTATATATGTGCAAAAGGAGTGACCTACAGATGCTAAATTAAAAACATCTAGTGCTTTCTCTCCACACCACCCTTTGACTCCTACTTAGCAGCAGTGTGGGGTGGGAGAGCTGCTCACCCGCTGCCTTTTCTAATTAAATTGAAAGAAATATCCCCGATATGTGAGAGCTTCGTGCCTGTGGCAAAAAAAAAAAAGAGTGTCAGAAGGTGATTGATGATACCAATTTTACACTGATGGTAGCTCCTCTCCAGTGAGCTAGAGAGAAGGAAATTTAGGAAAAGAACATCTTCTTGGTCAACCTGACATTTGCTGTCCTGAAAGCTGGACTTCATAACGATGGGAGAACTCAGAAATGAAACTAAAGGAGCAAAAAACTTCTCCACCTGTCATCAAAAGCAACGATAGGCAATTCCTCCCCGCCCTCAGAGCTCAAGACCGGAGATGGTTTTCCCATGACAGTTGCATCTAGAGTTTCTCTTGTGCTGGCTGCTGGATGCAGTGCTGACAAGTGCAAGAAAAGAGGAAATGATTTTGTGTCCTCTGTACAGCAACAGACAGATAGACAAAGTGATTTCCAAAGTTTAAACATGGAGTTTGTCATTTGAGGTCTCCTAAATCCTGACCCAGTGTCTTAATGACCAGTGTCCATGCAAGCAGAGGCCATATGAATTCAAAGGGAGCATCAGAAGCTCAGCATTCCTGATTCTCAGCCCACCCCAACACAGATTAGTTGTAGACCCTCTTTAGTGAACCTGTTGTCCTCCCTGATGGTAAAGTTTCCATTGCGGTTTGCAGCTTTGAATCTTAGCCTGAATCTGACCCATCTTTGTGCCGTTTGCAAGTCAGCAACATCAGCTTGGGTTGCAGAGTGCTGAGGGCTGCAGCCCTGCCTATGAGATATGGGGATCAGCTCGGAGGACTCGTGTCCAAGTGATGCAGGGCACACAGGCAGGGGCCTCTTGCACCTTCTCTCCCTGGCCCCTGCCCTTCTCTCGAGTCTATCCCACACAAATAACTGTGCCAGGCTCAACCCAACATAGCCTTTCAGAGCACCACCATTCCTAGGCCACTCAGACAATTCGCGGCCATAACATATCCTCAGAGAGAAAATGGCATCCTTTTTTACAGAGAAAAAACCTAGAGCAAGAAAGTGTTGATTAAACAGTTCACCCCATATTAAGAATCTCCTGGGGGGAAGCCAGGCATAAACATTTGTTTCCTGCCCTTTGAACAACATTTCCCCATTGTTGACCCAGTTTTAGGAAATAGAAGTACTCAAGTTCCTGCTGGCACACACAAGTATTGCCTGCATCACTCCAAACACTAACTGAGCTGTGGAGGACCCCAAAAGGACACAAAACTGGAAACTTACCTTGGGTGGAGCGAGAGGAGGTTTCCTCTTGGTTTTTGGGTGGCTTCCAGAAGTGTGTTTCTCATCGGACATCAGCTGATTTTTGCTTCCAAACAACCCCATCCTGGAAGGAAGACCAGAAATGACTTTTTAATGAGACTGCTCTTGGGAAAAGGTGCAGGCACAGAGGGACAAAACAGTCTTCTCATTCATGAAGAACAAGTTGGAGAAGGGCAGTGGGACAGTGGAGATAAGAGTCTAAAATCATTCCGTCTACAGTCCCCCTACTACCTTGGACGTTGTGAACCCTATAGTTTCCGTTCCCACACAACTCTGGTGTTTCACACTTTGCAGATGAGGCTCAGACCGACACTATAAGTCACCAGAAAAAACCAAGCACAAATAACTGCTTTGGATATGCCCCCTCTCCAATGCAGAGATCCCCAGCTGGCACTGAGCAAACTTGCTCCAGAGCTGGGTGATGGTGATGCCGCACGCATGCACTGTTGGCGGGTTGAAGAAGGGATGCTGAACATCCTGGGGAATATGACTGTGCTGAGCTGTTCAGATGTACCAGAGCTTCAAGAATGTCACATTGTCCGCGGACCAAGACCAAGCTGTACCCATGCTGCTCAGTGCCTTCTGTAGGTGATATCTTTCCCATGCAGCAAGAGCAGCACACAGACGTGTTATCTATCTGCATGGTGCCAGTCCCACTCTTCCTTGTGCTTAAGCAGCACAGACACACACTCAGCTTGTCCATGAAGGTGTGGGTCCTGATGGGACACTTTGGAGGACTGCAAGAAGCTTAGGGAGTCAAATATAGTGTAGCTTGCAACCATCCTGCCTGTAAAGTGTGGGCCTAGGGCTTGACTGGTTTCCATCTGCAGTGCCTTAGTACCTTTTGATGTGCCCTGGGGTCTCACAAGGTGTGGGTCTCCCATACATTGTGGATTATGTTTCCCAACCCCATGTATGTATCTCAGACATTCTGGACACCTTGAGGAACACTAGACACAAATGAATCAAACCCTTTCCACAGGCTATCCTCAGGTTCATACCAGGGTTTCCACACTTGTGCTTGAAGGCTTTTTTAACTTGCAGCCAAGAAATGTAATTTCAGCTCTGGTCAATACTTCTAGCATAATACTGGATTTGGGTAGCCAAGATAGCCAAGCCATGGCAAACTTGGCCTGCTCAGCCCCCTGAAAAAGTAGGGAGTAGTTGAAGCCAGCATTACTGAAGTGTAATTTAGAGCACCACCTTCCCTAGGCCACTCAGTTCATAGCCATAACATATCCCCAAAGAGAAAATGGTATCCTTTTTTACAGAGAAAAAACCTAGAGCAAGAAAGGACTGATTAAACAGTTCACCCCATATTAAGGATCTCCTGGGGAGAAGCCACGGGTATACAAGGTGTGCACACTGTCCAGCACCAAAGTCTGCCCCAGCCCCTGCTTTGAACCAAAGGCATTGAAAGGTGTGGCCTAGAGGTCCAAAACAACTCACCCCAAACCCCCAAATACTTGTAGCTAAGCAAAGACACGTTGGCTTCTATTCTTGCCAAAATATCTCAGGGTCTGCAATGAACATGGAGGATCAAGGACTGGATGTCCAGGGACCAATGTGGTTAGTCAGTTCCCCCAAATGTCTGTCTGGTGCTGTGTTGTGATAGTCAGACTCCAGCAGATGTGTTCAAAAAAGCTTCCAGCAAACCAGACTTGAAGGAAAAAATATTCTAGTAAAAGCCACTTTTTTTGCTTTCTAGCAAATACCTAATATTTCAAAAACTGGGACACTGAAATGAGGTTTCTGACAGAGCCATCCCAATATTTTAAGGTGTTATTTTTTTGAAATGTCTTCTCCCTTCTGCCTCATTTTTATTTTCACTGATAAAGTGAGAAAAATGGAAGGAATTGGTGAAATATTTCAGGATAGCCCAATACACGTTTTTCCTTCCAGTCAAAAGTTTTTCAGCATTCAAACTTCTCTGAGCTTTTCTTTGACCTGAGTTTACGGACAGCCCATCCATCTGTACCCAGGTCTCAGCAGCACTCCGGGAACTGACAACACAGTTGGAGGGGAAGTTTCACCCACTGAATCAGCCACAGCGTTTCCTCCAGCAAGTTCATTTTAATTTGGCAACCTCCCCTCCAGGTTGCAACCAGGGTTTGCTTTGCTTGGAAGATCTGGTTGTCATGAAATGGCACATGATTTGTTGAGTGAGCTCTTCCCGCTCTCCCACTTGCAAATTTGTGGAAGATAACTTTGTGCCTGAATTTCTGATTCTGAATGGTGTTATTTGCAAGGACAGTAAGTGAGAGTAGCTGGAGTTCCCTTTTCACCCAGGGAACTGCAAGTTATTGTTTCATGTCAAGGCTGGATGATAGACAAGTTTTAGGTACCAACCATGAAAGGCACAGGGTCTACCTATGTGTTGGACATCTATCTACGGTCCTTGTTGCTATCTCACTGGAGCGTCTCAGGCTCTTTGATATACTGTGCTGCTGAATGGGAGATACATACGTGGCAATTGCCATCTTTTCAACAGTTAGGGGATGTGAGATATAGCACGAGTTGGCAATATGTTTCTACAGCCAGTCATGTCACCAAGATGACCTTATGAGAGGATTGATGGACCATTTGCAGGATGGTGGATGCATATTTTGGGATTTCGAGTTGCTCTCAGTGACAACACTGGTGGGGCAGAGTGGGAAAGGGCATGGAGGAAGGTCAACCTCAGCAAGTCCCATCAGGGGCTTGTGGCCGTCCCAATTCCTCTGACTGTTTTAGAGGAGTGGGGATCATGCTCTAACCTGTGCATCTCCCCATGGAGCTTCTGTGTCCAGGGGGACATTGCAACCCCTTTCTGCACAGCGCTGAGACTGGAAGCACCTCTCTGCACACTTGTACAACCTGAGCTTTCTTCCTGCATGCATGTGTTGAAGACACATCTGTGCAAAGCCGCACAGAGAAGTGAACAGCATATCCCAGCACGGGTGGGAAACGGAACTGGCGAAAAGTCTCCCGCAAAGGTCACTCGCTCCCACCCACGCAAAAAAGACATTAGCATAGCTCTGGGTATTCACAGTCCCTACGAAATCCACTGGTCATGGTCTCCAGGTGGCCTCTGCAGCCTTCGGCAGCCAACACGACCATCCTTCATGCCAGCAGGTGCTACACAAAATCCCAAAATAGCGCTGCAGACAAATGTTGTCAGATGCGGAGAGCTACTGGTGAGCTCCCAGACCACAGTTGCTGGAGTTTTCATTTTTTAGAAAGTAATCTTTTTTTCTAAAAAAACATGGCTGAGTTGAATGTACGTTGTTCCACAGTGTTTCTGCTTCTAATTAATGGTTTTTAAAATTAGCTTCACAAAAAAAAAATTTGAGAAAACTAACTGATAGTGCTTCTCCCAGCCTTTTTTTTTTTTCCCAGTGGAAAAGAACTCTGGGGGAAAACAGTAACTTAGAAAAACATGAAATTTCCTTTTATAAACTTACAGTTTCTCACACCTAAAAATGTTTGTTCGTATTTAATAACTGAGAGTGGGGAAACTTGTTTCCTCAACTTAACTCAAGTTCAAAAAAAGATTTATAAAACAAGTTCTTTTTAAAGCAACCAGAAATTAAAATGGAACAAATAAATTTTAAGGCAACACAAAATTTTTCTGTATGCTTGGAAAGTTAGAGCAAAAAATAGCCCAGCTTAGCTGCTAAGTTTTGAGTAAAAATATTTGACGCAGAAGTCTTCCTGGAAGACACAAGCAAGTCTTTGCTGAATAAGTCAATAGACACCAGGACGGTGAGCTCTGTGTAGCACCCAGCTCTGAACGCATGTGGGACAGACATGTGGGTCACAGGAGCATTGGATGTTTGTATAGGACCTCTAAAACATGCTGTGTGTCCTGTGTTGTAGGAGAACAGCAGATAATTTTAGTAACCTTCAGAGGGGCAGCTGAGGCGACATTTTGGCTAGTGAGAGCTGTATGCAGGTACAGATGTTTCTGCAACAAGGGGCCAAGGGGAGGTCTTCTGAAGATCCATCACAAGGCCCTGCTCCAGCAATGCTTTTGCTGGCGTTTGGATGACATCGTCATGGTGGAGAGGAGAGGAGAGGAGAGGAGAGGATGTGACTAAATATCGTATCTCTCCCCCATCTTCAAAGAGGATTGGAGAACGTTCAAGGTCAGGCTGGACGGGGCTCTGAGCAACCTGATCTAGTTGAAGATGTCCCTGCTCATTGCAGTTCTGTGATTCTATGATTCTATGAACATACCCTACAGGAGCAACCCATCAAGCTGAACTCCAGGGGGACCAAGGAGGGGGACTGAGGTCCAGTAGAGATGGACACAAGTCTTTGCTAACCACAGGGTTTGGAGACCTGCCTTGCACCTGTGTTTGGCCTGTTTTGAATGCCCAGGGTGGGCTAAAGCAAACAGGACAGTGTCAAATTGGACCTGCTGGATGCACTTACTCCTTTTGTTGCAGCAGATCAGAAGGTAGGATGGAGGTACGTGGGCTAAGCCAGGCGCTGCAAGCATGGCCTTATTACCCATCCCATCTTTACAGTAAGCCGCGCTGCACCATGGGCACACCATCTACTGCGGTTGGCTGGTTTCCGCTACCAGAGCAAGAGAAAAGTTGTTTCTGATGTGAATGCAGCAATGTCTTCTGCAACAAGTATGTGGATGACACAGAAAAACGGCCTTAGGATTGCATGGGCGGGCATGGGGAAAAAACAAGACAGAATCTAGCAGAAAAACAGAAGTTTCTGCTCATCATTTGCCTCACCCCTATGAATCTGTGCCATGGAAAAATAGATTAAGACCCAAGCAAGCCAATAGTGTTTCACTGTGAGGGCAGGTCCAAAAAACCCCCAAGCCCAGAGAAATTACAAAATGACCCCCCTTTCCATTCAGATTCTAGGGTGGGTCCAACAAAGTGTTTTTATAGTTTACCAAGATTAGAAATATCGCTTCATTTTAAAACTTCAGCATGTCTTTTTTAAGAAAACACATTTTAAAAGGAAATAGCATTAAAAACTCTAAAAAAAATTACTTTGAAAATGCAGATGTAGACAATTATGAAGGGTTTTAAATGCTGAATTTCTCTTTGTGTGTC